CTAATTGAATGTGAATGCTCAAAGAGATACGTAGGCGAAACCAAACTTCAAATTAGGACTCGAATTCAACAACATCAAAAAAGTTTAAACGAGGGGAAACATTATCAGTTGGCAATAGCCACCCATATTAAGTTTTGCTCACAAGAAATAAAGTGGGAGGATGTTAAAACAATTAAAGTGGAAACAAAAAAGTTTGATCGAAAAGTGCGCGAAGCTCTTGAAATACATAGGTATCAATGTTCTCCTTTAAATGGTGGCATTAATCTAGATAACGGGAAATTGTTAAAACTAAATTTTGGACTCCGTTTTTTACATTGTTACGTAAGCAAGAAAGAAGCCATTCAATTGCTGACGTCAGGTAATTTTAACCTGTTTTTAACGTTAAAAAATTTTGTATTAATTTTTTACGAGCTGATGATGCTGGTAACCATAATCCAGCAAAAATTTTTAATAATAAATTATCATTTGTATTAAGAAAATTCGCATTATTTGATGTTTTCTTATATATATATATATATATATATATATATATATATATATATATATATATATATATATATATATATATATATATATATATATATATATATATATATATATATAATAATAAAAATAATAAATTATTTAATAAAAGAAACGATAGATATTTTAATAACTTTGTATGAATACTCAATAAATAGCTAAATTACTTATTTTTATTGAACTAAAATTCAAAGAAAATTTTGTTTGTTTGATACAGTTAAATGTAATTTCTAATTAATCAAGAATTTATAAAACTTAAGATTAAATTATGGGGATAACCAAGCAGATTTTTCATGGAACTTATTAGACGGTGTATTTTAATTATAAATCAAATTTATAAATACTCTTAAGAAAATTGATATTTAATTGGTATGAAATTGATAAAGTACAGCTTTATCTAAAAAAAAAAAAATTTTAGATAAGTTTTCTTAAAAAAAATAACTAAAAATAGCTGTAAAACTTTATGCACCAATATCGTTAATTTCTTTAGATTGCCTAAAGTTCACCAAATCTTCTATCAAATCCATTAAAAAATTAAAAGTTCATTCAAGAAATTATCAAAAATGCAGTATATTTATATAGTCAAATATAGCAGTTAACCTTTATGCACCAATATTAATAACTTCTTGAGATTACCTAAAGTTCATCAAATTATCTGCTAAATTTATCAAAATCAATCAAATTATTTAAAATCATCAAAATCAATGACTTATGCTTATCAAACATATCAAGGTTTAAAGACGACTTTTGTTCAATTATCACACCCTTTAGAAATCATTAGTAACATGACCAAAAAGGTCTGTTATTGCCCTTTTGAGGGGAAAGCAAATTCTACTGACATTCCATTTTGAATTTGATGAATAAAATTACTGCTTTTTTAAATATTTGACAAGTGTATATGTACCTCTCTCAAGAAGCAATATTTTATAAGCAATATGAGCAATATTTTACTAAAACCTTGAAAAATACACATGCTTGCTGAATTCAATTTTTAAAAGGATTTTAATATTTGTAACAAAATAAATTACAAAAGAAACACAAGGTACATAAACAATTTCACTCGGAGACAAAATAATGTACAAAATTTTTCAATGCTTTTCAACACAATACTTCTTTCTTTTAAATATACTTCTTTTTATATTTTTATAACTTCTTGATTGCTTTGTAGTTATTGAGAAAAATTTGACTTTTTGACCTTCTTTACAAGTGCTTGCAATTGAAGTCGAGAACACGCTTAAGCAAATTATGATCATACTCAGGGAGTATGATCATAATTGTTTAGTTGTTTCTCGTATCTTTCTTAGTGCACTTTGAAATTGGCATGTAAAGCCTCCTTTACCTGTTCATTGAAAAATCTAAGACTTTGTCCATGAATGCTGATGAAATGTGGGTCATGGAAAAAGATTGTGTGCATTTTGGGGGTGACTGAAATTTACAATTTCATGAATGATTCTTTGAACCGATTAATTTTTTTTATTGTACCTGGGATTAAGGAAGTTTCCAAAGCAAGCAGATCCTACCTTGTGGAACTTTCAAAATGTTTCCATGAAACGAAAGCCTGGAATGCACAATTAAGCTCAGACCAAACTTGAAAAATACTCTTGAATAAATAGTTCACAATTCCTAGACACAATTCCTAGAAGTGCAATTCCATTGGATGAGTTTGTGAAGCAAGTGCAATTCCATTGGAGGAGTTTGTGAAGCAAGTGCAATTCCATTGGAGGATTTTGTTCTAAAATCAGTTGATCATCTGGCAAATCAAGAAGGGGTGATGTACTGAGTTTTTGAAATCCTTCGCTGTCTTTGAGTTTGCTCCCTTTTCGAAAAATGGTTGATAGTCTCTTTTAAGAGACCCGATGCTTCTTAAGGCTCTAATGTCACTGAGTTTGCCTGATTCAGATTCAGCTTCACATCAGCAGCAAGGATGCTTTCTGCTGTGTGCCTAAATTCCACATATAATATTGGTAAGTTTAAGATCAGTGCTGATAATAAATTGGAGCATGTTTGCTTTAATGAGATCAAACAGAATTTTTGACAATAAAGTAAGTTTTTGCAACCTCTTCAACAATTTCAACTAAGAGTAAACGCTTAACTCCAGTGTCTCTGGCAACAGTCCTTGATGCAAGTCGCAATATTTTCTTATTTGGGGCTCTCTGTTTCTTTGTTGTGTACTCATTTATTTTCAAAAAACCTCCTCCTCCATTTAGGCCAAGCTTCACAGTGTGGTTGGCAGAAACTTTCCTCTTTGAAACAATCTTCGAACATAGTTTCTCTACATTTATTGTTATTAAATGATTATGATCCTTATTAAGGTTCTGTTTAAAATAATTTTATATTATTTAACACTACCGCAAAGCACTGACAGCAGCTTTTGATTTTTTCAAAATTTGACCGCAAACCGCTGGTCACAGCTTTCACAATTTATCATGTTTTTTCCGTAAATTTTCACGCTAGACCTATAATTTATTTGTTCTTATTTATTTATCAATACAATGCACAACTTGCCATGCGGCAACTTCTGAATCAATTTTTTTAAAAGATGTTATTGAGGAAATAGTGAAAACATTATCAAGGATTTTATTTGATTTCAGCAAACTTTTGGAAAAAGTAAGGATCGACGACACTACATGAACCCACGTGATTCAGTATTGTGGCCAGCTGTCTTATTTTTGAATTTGATAAGCTAGTAATTAATTGCACTTGCACAAGATCAGGTGTATTCATAATTTCTGGAAGTGGTGGCTGGTGCAGAGATGAACCTAAATAAAGGAAAACACACTAGTAATACTTTGCCTATAGTTATATAGGATTGGTTAAAATCAAAAAAATTAGAAAAATACACCTGGCTGCATGAAATGTTGTTCCTTAACATTATAAAAGTATTAATAAAAAAAGCGTAGTAGAATAATTCTGACGATTTTGTATAAAGTTTGGCATTTTTATGCTAAAGTATTGTATTGTAAACTTTATTGCCTCAAAAAAATGTAAGGAAGTAAGAGGAGGTAATAAATATTCAACTTCAAACATTTAAGATGCTTTTTAATCATCAAAATAAAACTTTACTTTTAAAAACTAGCTTTTGAATTGAGCTAAATAAGAAAAATGTTGCTTTTTATTCAGATTATCAACAAGTTTTGACTGAGCAGGCCAAAAAACAAAAAAAGTTATAGAAAATATAAGGCAGGCCAAAAAATAAAAATTTTGAAAATTGTACGTCTGCAAAAAGCCATGCTCCTCCACATATAAAAATTAAAACTATTAAAAAAAAAATGAAAAAAACTTAAAAGTTATTAAGTGCTGCTAAATTTGATTCGATTATTTTTGTTTTTTAACATAAAATATGTCAAAATTAGAATTTTTTAGCAAAGTCAAAAATGATTAAGATTTTTATATCAATAGTAAATATTTGTTATAAACAATACTTTTTTTAGTAAAGTAACTTGTCTTGTTACTCATAAAAGAAAGTTATAATTTATTTGTATTGTGCTAAATCAACAAATAAATGCAATTTAATAAGATTTTCGACCACTTTGGAAGAAAAAAAAAAGACTTTGTTTTGCGTAGCCGCGCCCTGAAGATAAGAAATTTTATTTGAATTTATTAAACTATTTTTTTAACTAATTTTTGTGTATTGATAGTTACCTTGAAGATTTGAAAACAACGGTTACACATATATATTTATATAAATTTGACATATAAATTAAGAAAATTTGTAAGCAGCTTTCCCAAATATTGAGACAAATCTGCGAATTTTTTAATCGTAAAAAATTGTTATGGGGAGAGATCATTTTCTCAACTAAAGTTAATTAAATCCAACAAAAGAACAAAAGTAAATTAACATTGTTATCAATTTTATGTAGTGAATCGGATGTATTAAGAAATTTACCTTTTAATGATATAATTGAAAAGATTGCAATAACTAAAGCGAAGAAAATGTTTTCGAATTAATTTTGTACATACTTTTTTCTATTGTTACTTTTTCTAGCGTATTTATTGTATTATATTATTTATATTAATTTTATGATAATAATTCCTGCCTGTATATTTGTTATATATTAATGATGCTCAATATTCATTTAGAACATAAACAATTAAATAAACTATCATAGCAAATTATCAAGCTATATCGTAGTATATGTATTTGCACCGGATTTTTATTGTTTCTTACCTTTTAAAACTAATCTATATTTTTAAATATAAGAAGAACACATATATTTTTATAGTCTAGGGTTTCAGAAACAGTAAATCCAGGCCCTGGCTTCGTAGTACCTTGGAATACTTGCCCCCCTTTAAGCAGCACTGTTAAATACAAATATTTTTTTATTGACATCTAACAGTGCTGCTATTAAACCTTAATAGCAGCACTGTTATATGCCAATATTTTTTTAGAATTACCGGGGGGGAGGGGGGCAGCAAGAGCTAAATACCCAACTTCAGTTAAGTTAAATGTAATTATACAATATTTAATAAAAAGTCAATTTTCTTGTGTTTATGCTATTTTTAAACTTTTAAACCGCATTTTTGATTTATCCTAAGAAAAAATTTTTATCAGCTTTTTGAACCACATGTAGTTTTTTACACATAGTTTTTTATACGTAGTTTTTTAGACGTAGATTTTTACACGTAGTTTTTTACATCATACAAACATAAAACTTTTGACAATTTTCAAGTCTCAGAAAAGTAAAAGATTTTTTAGACAAAAACGAAACAAAAATAAAATTAAATAAGTATTACTTAAAATAAAATTATAAATTTTTATGTAAGTTTTATAAAATAGTAATAAAAAAAAGTTAAATCTTCCTTAACAAACCCCCCTTACATAAGTTCAGTCAGTAAACGGTCTATATCTTCAGAACCATATTGGTTTTCCTGGTACGTTTTCTTGTTTGAAAATTCAACCATATTTTTAGTAGACTCTAAATCGTCAAGTTTTGATTTAAGTAAACTAAGCACTTCATTTACTAATTCTGATTTTTTTTCGCCATGTTTTTTTCCTCGCAACATTGATAAAAACATAAATCCTATTTTTGGCGTCGACTCATTTTTCTTTTTATCAGAAACGACTAAAATCAAAAAGTAAAAATATGCAATTATGAGTTAACTTTAAAGAAATTAAGTAATGAACTAAGAAGCAAATATTGCATAAGCATTTTTAGTAAATCTATCAATTCAAACTTTCAAATCGTTTACCTTCATCTGCTTGTGTTTCAATGCAATCTTTTGTTCTTATAAACATGCAGTTAGCTCTTGTAAATGAAAATAAAATAATACTCGGCAAGATTGTGATCAAAACAACAGATGCTTTCATATTTGTGAGTAACCCAGTTTTTTGCTATTTGAGTAGAATTTCTCAGAAAAGTTTAGTGAGATAACTATCTTGGTTTAACCTTTTAGCGAATAAATCAAGAATACTTATATGTAGATTATCGTGTCCATTTTCTGATTGATTCATTTAGTCAATAGGTTATTGTGAATTCAAAAATAACAGATTATCTTGTAAACAAATTTTGTATTACTCCTTTTTGAATTAAATTTTCCATTCGTCTATTTAACTTAAATAAATAAAAAACTATGACATTTTCAATCAGTAATTTGTTTTATCAAATATGATGATAATACTTACTGTAATGTGTTTTGACATAGAAGCAGTTAAAAATAAATATTTAAAAATATATATAGTTATATACGATATTTTTATATTTAGTATTGCGTATGTGTTTCACGAGTTATTTTTTTTTTTAACTTCACTAAGTTTTTAAAAACATTATCAAAATGTTAAAATGATATGCAAAAAAATTAACTAAAAATATATGCAAAACTAGAATATGAAATACAAGTGTAAAATAAACGAAAAAGATTAAATTCAAGAGTAAAATAAAATAAAATAGTTTTATCGGAATTGATGGAGTAATGCGTAAAATGAAATATATCTTAGAAAGAATAAGCAAATTTTAAGTAGAAGAAAGCAAGAGGAAATAAATCTTAATAAAACTAAGCTAATAAATTTAACAATTTGAATGAATCCATAAAGGTAAAAAAAAAAAATGTATAAACTTTTTTAATACGGCGCCGAGCCTTGAAAATCTTGTTTTAGAACAAGAACTCTTAAGCTGATTTGGTTTTGTTTTTGGTAACTAATGATTTTAATTTTGGTAGGTCTAAGTTTAATATACAAAATGCACCAATTGTCTAAAAAAAACGTGGTAAAAAATAGTTACGAAACAAAAGTCTCTTCCCTACTTTTGAAATTCTAAAGCGTATGTAAATTTCTTAAATTGCAATTAGTATTGCAAAATAATATTGTTAAAATTATAGACATTTATTTATATTTGAAACAGTGGCGGATCCATAGGACCAGTGGTGATATTATGGGGAATGTTCCCAGTAAGCACAAGACGCATTTTAGACACTTATAGACGACTAAAACTAGTCTAGGTAAAGACGCACTTTTGTAGACGTTTTGAAGACATCTTTTAGGCGTCTTTTATGAATGCGTTTTTAAAATGGCGTTCAAAAGGCGTCTTTTTAAAAGATAAAAAGACGTCTAGAAGACGTCAATTTTTAAGACATCTTCTAGACGTCTTTTATAAAGGCGTTTTTAAAATGACGCCTTTTTAAAGTTTAAAAAGACGTTTAAAAGACGCATAATAAATAGTCTAAAAGACGCATTAAAAGACGTCTAGATCAAGGCTAAAAGACGTCTTTTCTGAGACCTGTTTATAAATATGTCATTATGACTTCTTTTTGACGGCTTTGTCATTACGCGTTAAGTAGATGTCGTATATTCAAAGTAAAAAAATAGTTTTTATTATTTTCAATAATTTGTTCAAATTTTAAGTGTAAATTACTTTAAATTAAATTACTTTTTTACACAATTGCTAAAATTGTTGTCACAGGAATCACTAAAATAATTGCTATAATATTAATATATCTTTTTTTTATTAATAATTATTTTGCTTTTTTAATAGATAGTTGACTGATCATGATAATAAGTGAAAATGGCAAGAATAATATATAAAATAAATATCAGTATTTTTAGTTTTTATACACCCACAAGCCATATAATAAGTCAAGTATCCGGTCAAAAATTAGTTAGCAATACATTTGTAAAAATCTTATAATAACTAATGGTAAGTTATAAATGATTAAATACTGTTTTGATATATAATTGTTATTGTTATTTATTAATTTCATTTTTGATGCATCAACCGTTGGTGGTGATATCTATATTATTTAGATTGCTGGTTCCTATGTATATTTTGTAAATACGAAGTTATAACAATATATGACGTATAAATACAATGAATATATACCGCATACTACGCGAAAATGTAACGTCATGTACTTCAATTCATCTTAAAATAAACGTCTAAAATACGTCTAAAACGCGTTTTTATAAAGACGTCTTTATTTGGACGTCTTTTAGCCTTATGATCTAGACGTCTACAAGTGCGCTTTTTAGACCTCCTTAAAAACATCTTTAAAACGTCTTTTAAACGTCTTTGTGCTTACTGGGTTACAATATATGGTTAATTTTAAATAAAAATACAACGTCTGTAGTAAAATAATAATGCACCTTAATGCAAAAATATTTAAAAACCAAGATAAAACGTTAAAGAGCCAAAATAAAACTTTAAACCAAATAATATTCAAAATAGAACAACACACAACAAAAAAACAATTAAAAAAAATTCAAGATATTTGCTATTAAAAATATAATTTTTTTAAGATTTTGTTTGAATGAAGCAAAAGTCAGTTGAGTAGAAAAATCAAAATTTGGTTAGACTATTTTGTTCCAGAGATAGGGACCTCGATAAGAAACAAAAAAACTGGTCATTGCTTTTACTCGGCCTGTAGCAACCGGGTGGGCAGCAGGAGCATTTGCCCCCCCCCCAACAATTTTTCAAATAAATAATTTCGAAGAAATTTATTGAAAAAAAGGTCCTTAAAACTATTTGGGATTAGTACTGCCGCTTCCCCCCCCCCCCCCATATAATTTTTGTTCCTACGGTCCTGCATACAATAAAGAATTTTGTAATACATTTGGTAACATTTAAAATACAAGACTTTCGTATGAAAAAACTGATTTTTAAAGTTTATTGCGCGAACTGCGTGTTTCTGATGAAGATAAAGAGTTTTTTTAGCTTTGTTCTATGAGTGCTTCCCCATACAATATTCGCGTAATTTATATGACAATGTATAAATGAATAATATAATTGTATTAACTGGTGTTTACTTAATATATTTCTTGCTAACCCATCGCTCCTGTTTCTCAGTGATGGGAGTAGTTGTTGATGAGATGTGTAGTTTGATGTTTTCATAATACGCGTTTACTTGGAGCTGGTAGTTTAATCCATTTATTGGTATTGTAATAAATGCCAACTTTTATCTGTAAAATGATATACCTGAACCAGTTTTATATATTTTTGTGCAACTGCATGTACACACATTTAAAATAAAAAAGCATATGATAAATGCAGGAGCAAACCAACGTAAAAAAGTTTTTTTGACGCTACTACTTTTTGAAGCTACTGCGCAAAATTTTTAATAGCTTCAATTGTAGATTAACATAATATAGCTAAGTCGCGTTTATTTTTAATGGACTAGAATACAGGCTTTAACGTTAAAGTCTGTATTCTAGTCCATTAAAAATAAACGCGACTTAGCTATTTTATGTTTATTTTAGACTAAATCCAAAGTAGCGGCCGTTCTGCTCAATCTGAGCAAATCTGCTCTGCTCTGCCGATTGTATCTACTTGGCACGAGGATACTCAAACACATGTTATTTATTTTTAAAAAGATATTTTATTAAAGTTTTGTGCTTGATTTTGAATTGTCAATTGTCCTCAATTCAAATAGTAATTGCTTGAATAGAAGAATTTTTTCAAGGACAAATTAAGTAATTATTACGAGCAAACAATAACACAATTTAAAAAAAATGTTGTTCACGTTTTTCTAAACTATCAAATAATTAGTTTAATAGATAATATAAATAATTTATATTATCCAAGTTGAGTAGTTTAGGAATTTTTCTTGCAACTAACTAATATTGGGACCTAATATTAGTAAATTGGTAGAAAAATTATTTATATAAGTTGTCTATATAATCTACAGTTTTGATTTCACAAAAAGCCGATTACTATCCAAGCACTCAAAGACATTAAACGTGACACTAAACGTAACGCTTTGGACAGGAAAATTTATTCTGTATGTTTAAATATTCGTGAGGAGTTTGATACTGACATCATTACTGTAGATCTTGAAATTTTTTTTAAGTAAAAGTTAGATCATGGAATCAGAGCAATTGCTCACATTTGGTCTTAATCATATCTCTTAAACCATGCTTAATTTGCTACCATTTCCAATACCTCTTCTAATAATAAATCTCTACTTATAAGTGTTTTCCAGGATTGAATCTTTTGATCTCTTCTGAAGATTGAATCTTCTGTTTTCTCCTTTTTCTTATTTATTTTGTCCTAAACACGTACAAAATTTTCAAAAGTATTGTTTTGTTCTAAACAAAAGATTTTTCAATTATTAGAACATTCTCACCAGCAATTGCTGATTGTTCTAATGATTGAAAAAAAATGTTCTAATGATAGAAAAATCAGTTAAAAAACTAAATCAACATCTTAACTATGATCTGGCCTGTGCTTGGTTTAATAGTTAAGATCGAATAAAATATTCTTTATGTTATAAAAACTGAAATAATTTTCTAGGTATGGGGCACAATTCTATACAAAGTATACAAAAAACATAGTCATTCTTTAAAATAAATCAATGTCATTGATTTGTTATAAAATAAATTATTCTCATTGAAAATGATAGTAAATCATTTTTAAACAGATTCGATTTAAACATTCTTTGCATTCTCTCAAAAATTATGAAATTAAAAAAAAATTAATATTTCTTATTTATTGAATTGCACATAATAACTTACTAGAAGCTTTAATAACAACTAAAAATTTAATAATATACCATCAAATTTAATATCAAACAGCTAAACCATTACTTTTAAAACAAACTCTTAAGTATGGCATTAATTTCATTAAATTTAAATAATTTAATGAAATTAATCATCCTAAATAAAACAAACTATGTTTTTTTTTTTTTTTAAAAAAAAAGGTAAATTAAATTCTCTTTATAATCAAAACTAAAAAACTTATCCAAGCCAATAATTATAAATAAAGTTTTGATGATTTATTGATTTTTATCTTTATCATAGTATTGTTTTATTGATCTTTTTCTTTATATTGTATACCTGATCTTGATATGTATCCATTTTGGTCTGTATCTGTCTTGATATCTAGCCCCATCTCCTTATTCCCCAGAATTCATTTTTATCACAGTCTTATTTTTTTTAATATTGTAACTAATATTATTATTGTTATTGTTGTTTTATTATTCCTATAATTATTGTTCTTTACTAAAGTCGTTGTTGTTTCTGTTGTTGCTGTTGAATTGCTATTAATATTATACAATTACTATTGCAATAATAACAATTGTACTTATACAATATAATTAGAATTGTTATAATCATTTTTATTTTAACATTTTACCGCTATTATTTGCAATGAAATTTTATTACTGTTATTACTATTATTGCTAAAATTATTGCTGGTAATTATTTATTACTGGTACAATTATCATTATATTAATAGTAATATCATTAGTAGATTGATGTAGAAGCCCCTTTTTTGTTTGTTGTCCATATCAGTTGATCTATGTTATGAAATCTCAGCAACTTCCTTTAATGTAAAGTTTAAACATTTTTCATCTGTTCCCATAATTTTAAAAGGCTTTAGAAAACCAGAAACATTTTTCACCCGGGCACAATTTTTTTTAGTATTATCGCAAGAAACTGAAAAGTTTATATTTTTTTAAGTTTTATAGATTTAGATCAATCCATCATTAATACCATTTTTTAAATACTATACTATACTATTACTAGTATAGTTTACTTTTTAACTTTATTTTAATACTTTTACTTGTAGTTATAATTCTTAATTGCTTTATTTTTATTAATTTTTATTTCCATATATATTAACAGCAATATAGTTTTTGAAATGGTTGTTCAACAAAACACTGATTTTCAAGGTAAGAGCTTAATATAGTTTACTTAAATTTTTATTTTTAATTTTCTAATATATATAATATTTCAACATATACATATACAATTTCTTACATATAAATCAAGAAAACTATGTTTTTTGAAAGTATTGTTACAAATTTTTTCATTGTTTTTTTCAAGATTAAACATAAAAAATTGAAAAATTTAAAGAAAAAAAGCAAAAAATCTGGCAACATTAAATATATCTCATGTATTATGAAATGCCAGAGTCTTGCCTTATATAGAAAAGTGCTTTAAGAAATGTAAGTAAAATGAGGTTTAGAATTTTCATTACAGTGTAAATATTACCATGAAAATACTGATAAGGTAAAAAAAAAAACAACAAAAAAACAATGCATTATTTTGGTTAAATAACAAGCAGGAAAAAAACAAAAACAAAACATTAAAAAAAAAAAAAAGTTCAAAGTTTTTTTGTCTTGCTTGTAATCAGGGAAAAAAGAAAGTTCAATCTAAGTGAAAATTTTGGCTTATGTTATAATGTTTTTTAGAATTTAGAAAGTTAAATTAACTTAAATAATTAGTCAGATTAATAAAGGTTTTTTATTGTACTTGAATTTTTAAGATGTTTTGAATTTTCTTTTTCAATATTAGCATTATCTTCATACTTGCTTGATTCTAAAGTCCATGTTGAATCCAAAATTGAAAAATTGGGTGTTTTAAAAGACAAGGATTATCTGGTAGATTCCAACAAAAAGTTGCAGTTTCTTTTAGACTGGATTTGTTCAACAATAGATTTCCAATCAAAATCTGACAAGTATGTTTACAAATTTTTATTATTTTTTAATTTTGACTATTCAAGATAACTTAAATAAGAGAATATTAGAAGACTAAAAGTCTTTTGTTCAAAAAAGTTCTTTTTAGTAAAAATGATTTCTTTAAACAAACTTGTGTATTTCTAGAAAAGATTGTATCTTGATGTCGTTATAAATAAAATAAAAATATATATAAAAAATATAAAAAAAAGTGGTATAGCAAATTCTGCTAGAAAGTTCTTGTAAAATAGTTTTTAGTTAGATGCTTTTTATGTTTTAAGAACATGTAAGATATAATTAAAAACATTGTTTTGACTATCTTTTGCAATTGTCTTGAAGTTTAGTTTAGTAGCCTAATTTTATGGTTGTTTAGATTTACTTTATAGGTAACTTTTTATTTATTTTCTTATAATAGGATTCTTAAAAAAAAAAAAATATTTTCAGCTGGCTTGGACAGGCATGGCGTGCGATTGCGTACTGCAACTGACCATGTTTATAACTTTTTTTCTTTATAATATGACTATGGCTGTTTTTATGTTTTAGCAATTTAAATGCAAATTAAAAAGTTGTTAAGTTTGAATAACTTTTAATTTTTGAAGTTTTTATTTTAGGCAAAGCCTTTGAAGGTATCCCAAACCTCCGAGACATGTTAGTTAAATAGAATAGAATGTTAGTTAAAAGAATTTCCAATATGCTAATGGGTGATTACTAAAAATCTGGACAAATTTGTTTACATCATATTTCTATATGCAACTAATACTTATTTTTTCAAATAATTTTTAAAATGTTGCAAATTTATTCTTCTTTTGAAATATATATTAACTTTTATATAAGTATTTTAAATTTAGTATTAAAAATGACGTCAAACAAAGAGCTCCAGAGAAAACGTGTGTACCAGTTCACTGTGTAAACTAGCCCTGTGGCGCCCCTTCAAGCGCGGTTTTCTCAAATGCTCATAAAATTAAAATTCCCAATTTAAAGATGAAAAAATCCCATTCTCCAAAAAAAGTTTCCAAATTAAAGTTTAATAATAATTCTAAAAAAAATTTAAAATTAATTATTATTCAAAACTAATAGAAAAATAACATAAAAAAGTTCTAATTCATTAATTGCATAAAACATGAAATCAAATTGCCATTATAACCGCATAAAAACGCAATTGCATTACTGCGAAAATTGGTTTCTTGGAAAAAACATCATGGGAATTAGGATTTTTGAAGCGATTTTTGGGATTTTTGTGGCTACTTGCAATAAAGTTTGAAAATAGTTTTTTGCAATGCAATCCAACAACAGCAAATATTATATAAAAAAGTTAGCAAGAAATAAAGTACTAATATAAAAGATCCAAAATAAGAACAAACTTGTTTGGTTTCACACCCGCAAATCCTATTTCTTTAAAAGTTTCGCCTTTTTTGGCTAAAAAGTTAAATAATTTATTAAGTCTTAATGTAAACTCAACTTTAAGGAGTACATTTATTTCGTCAACAAAAACATCAAGAAGGTTATGTCAGATACCTTTTGATCAATTACGGTTATAACAGAAAATTTTTTAGTTATTGTTTTTCTTTTATTCGTTTGGTATTTTATATCAACTGAATTTGCTAAAGTTTTTTACTTTTTTACTGGTATTCTTTTATGCCACGCGTGCAATCGCTTGCTAATAATATTACTCTATAATTAAACAATATTTGTTGCTGTATTTGCTGAGACTTTGTGATTATAACTTTATTTCGCTTTGTGATTTATGTATAAAATGAATTATTATTAATTATAAAATTGAACTCGCAATAAATGTGAAATATGAAATTTATAAGCTCATGTTTACTATTTTTAAAACCTTATCTATTTTCAAAAAATTTCTTTTGATGACACAATTTATTATATGATGATGTAAGGATTCGTTCGTAAGGTACATCGAGCAGATTTTAAATAATAACTAGAAGTAGAAGATCATTGGCTCATTGGAGATCGCTATTTAACTATATTACATTGAAAATGAAATATATATTTAAAATAATACTCTTGAAATGAAAGCGGTGACAATATAAAAAGATTAAAAATAAGTCAAATTAATTACTCTCAATAATAATTATAATACACTGATTTGTTTATTATAAAAAAAGATATCATTCCTAATATATATTAGGAATGATATCTTTTTTTATTATAAACTATATATATATATATATATATATATATATATATATATATATATATGTTCTGGTATCAGTTCTTAGTTTGCCGTGTTGTGAAACAACAGCTAATTTTGTGTTGATTTCATATTCATCTTTAATGATACAGATGGTATTTTATTTTATTTTTGGCGCTGATCAATTAATGTATGCAGCGCTGAAGTAGAGTAGAAAAAAAAAGAACACCAAAAAAGGACCCCATGCTTTCCCAGAACATATTTTAGTTTCAGGGGAGGAGGGGAGTGATTGAGAAATACCTCGACAAATTCCCATTTTTGTTAAAATGCTGTATCAAATTTATTCCTGGTTAACACCTTGCAGTTTTATCAAGAAAATTCAGATAAACCTAAATCATTCACTGCTTCTCATTTTGAAGCAGAAAACTTATCAAGATCGACTATAAGGAATTATTAAACGTGTAGAAGAAGATAAACCATTTGAAAGGCAAACTGGTAGTGGTAGAAAGCCGAAAATAATGACTAAGCGCGCCATCAGTCAACTTACCAAAATTTTTGACCATAAATGTGGCATTTCTCAGCATATAGCTTCAAAAAAGTTCAAATGTTCTCAGTCACTTATTTCTTAGACATTGAAAACCAAAACAACAATAAAAAAAGAAAACAAATGAAGATTCCAAGTCGAACTGAGATCCAGAGAGCAAAAAACTGACTATTGTGTAGTCAACTTTATAAAAATTATAAAGATTTTATTTGGGTTCTTGATGACGAGTCTTATTTTACTCTTTCGAACATTTAAGTAAAATTAAGGTAATGATAATTTCTATTCAAGTAACATTGAATTAATACCAAACAATGTTAAATTCAAAGAAAAAAAGAAATTTGAAGAAAAATTATTGGTTTACGTGGTCATTTCGCCTTTTGGCCTATCAACTCCATACATTGTACAGTCTGGAACTGCTAATAACCAGCATATTTAAGTTGATAAAAAAAAACTATTACTACACATCAAACAGCTTCCAAAAGATATAAAATACATATTCTGGCCTGATCTAGCAAGTGTCCATTACTCAAACAAAGCTGTTAAGTTTTTGAATGAAAGTGGTATAAAGTTTGTAACAAGTTATTTCATTTTTAGTTTTATCCAGATTTTTAGTAATCACCTGTTATTTTTGAATTAATTTAAATTTGAAGCTAAGTGAGTTTTGTTAACCGCATAATATCAGAAATTTAAGCAATGAATTTAAGATTTCATATGTAATTTAAGAACTAAAAAAATTTAGAATTAAAAAATTTAAAATAAAAATTTAAAATTGCATAGAAGTAAACCTGCGTTACATCATTTCCCTCCTAGGATGACTTGTAGATTTTAGCTTTTGCCTCCTTGATAGTGGCTATGCAGCTCTTCCAGTTATCACTTAAGGAGTGTACATCTCTAAAACTCAGTTTAATGTTCTTAGGCCAGCTGGTTAGGCCAGTTTCAATATATCTTTTACAAATATTCTTGGTCTTCAAAGTAACCTTTCATCAATTGAATCTTACCTCTTACAAGATTTATCAAACTTGCTTGCTTTTTGTGAGACTAATTTAAATTTCTACATTTCTCAATCTCTTGCTATAGCTAACTTTGTGACTCGTTTTCCAGACAACCCTAATAACTTACTTTTTTCCCTTGATTTGTGTCTTTTCTCTGACCATGGTTTGCATTTAGTTTCTTCTTTTTCTTTCTTAGGTGATTCTGACCATGCAATAATCTCTATAAATCTTTAATCTTTTACTTCTTCTTTTGACTTACCTTATCATTTCAAAACTTACTACTACCCTAAATCTGTCTAGAATTCTTTTCATGGTTTTTTTTTGTGATGGTCTTCTACTTAACTTTCTGGATCCAGGCAGGAACACAAGCTTTTATTCCTTCTTTGTTGGTTCCGAGTCAAGCCTTATTCTATTCCATGGTTTTCACCTTCTTGTGCAGCTGCTATATCTAATCATAATCATTTTTATCTTTTTTGAAACAACAACTCTCTCCAGAACAAACACCTATTCATTATTGCAAACAGTTGATTTAAAAAGATGCTATCTAATGCTAAGCTGATAGTATCATATCTCAGAAAATATGAAAAATCTTTAATGGGTCATTAACAAAGGTAGTTCTAACCATCATAACCATAAATTCTTCCATCTCTCATTCACGAGACTGATCTTAATACTTCTCCTAAGGATAAGGCAGAACTATTTGCAAAGAACTTTTCTACTAATTCAATTCTTAAATCTTACGGTCATATTCTTTCTGCCATTCCAATCAAATAGTATAACCCATTGTTAGACTTTCAAGCAACTCTAGTTAACTCTTGGAGTTTGCAGTAAATTATGAATTTTAACTTTAATAAAACTCAATTATTAACTGCAAACAGCTATTGCAATACTGTCTACATTTCTATATTGATGAATTGCAACCCTCTTACTGATTCCACTTCTTCACGTCTACTTGGATTATCGTTCATTGCTGACCTCTCATGGAAACCATTTATACAATATATTACTGAATTAGCATCTGCTTATTTTTATTGTGCTATTCTCTATCATGATCTATCTCTTCTCTTTATTGTTGCCATTTTGTAACTCTTTATTCCATTATATACCTTTACAAATCTCTTATTTGCCTGTATAAAATACTGTTGTCATATTTGGGCTGATTCTTCTGGTGCTCTTTTTCTTTTAGACAAGGCCAAAAAAATGCATTGTAAATGTAGTTGAACCCATTCTATCTTCCAAGGTTAAGCTTCTTTCCTATCTTTATAAAGTTGCATCTCTTTCGCTTTTCTGCAAATACTACCATGGTTGCTGCTCAAAGGAGCTATCATCTCTTGTTCCATCAAGCAAAACTCATTCTTGCTTGCCTTGTTATTTAGCAAAGTCTCATTCTTTTACTGTATCTCTCCCTGCATGTTCTAAAAACTTTAATTTATCTAGTTTTTTCCACTGCATTGTAACCCTTTAGAGCTCTCTCCTATCTTCATGTTTTCCTGATTCATTCAACCTACAACTTTTTAAGTCTTCTGTCCACCATTTTCTTGCTCTTTAACTCTATTCTTTTTTTCTCTAGTTCCCAACTTAATAGCAGTTGATTGAAGGCTTGTTTTGAGTGAATCTGAATTAATAAATAAAAAATTTCTTGTAAATTTTGCATTAGTAAATAAATTAAAAATTTTTTTTTTGTTTTTGTTTTTGTGAATTTTGTGTCTGTAAATTATACTTTTGCATTCGTAAATAGAATTATTAAAAAAATTATATAAATTTATGTAAATACGAATATCTTCTTTTATGTCCACTCAGTTTGAAGACCAATTGCCAAGGGCATACAATCTGCAATTTATTCTTTGATTTAATGCAGCTCAGTACAATATTAAATTGTACTGTCTGCATTAAAACCACACTTTTATCAAAAAAAAAAAAAAAAAACTTATGCAACGGCCTTGAATTTTACAAAAACAGAATTAGAGTTTAAAATTGTGGCTATGTGTAATGTGTTACACATAGCCACAATTAATTAAACAAAAGACAAAGTGCAGCAATTAACAGCACAAAAAGTGGCAAACTTTTTGTGGCAAACTTTTTGTGGCAAACTTTTGCTACCAAACTCAAAACTTTATTCCTCCATATATTACACCTTCTGTTAAGCATGTATCAAATTTATAATTTAGGGTGCAATCACTTTTTACAATTAGTTAAGACAATTTCTTAACTAATTGTAAAAAGTGATAGTCAATTTCTTATTTTGTTATTTTGTTATTTTAAAATCTTAGAGCCATTTATTTGGAAATTTTGAAGTGAATTCGAAAATTTTTGTAAACTTGAACATTTTGTTAAATTTAGAAAAAGCAATTTATTTGTAAATTTTATAGAAAAATTAATTTGGAATTATAAAGTTTAATATTTTCACTCACAACTGGGCAACTTGTCATCAGGTAATTAATCAAGACAAGCTTCAAGAAGTAGTAATTAATATTCCCTGTGCAAATGCAGTTTGAGGCTCCTTAACTCATCCCATTGAAAATTATTAGGTAAAGTTGAAAGCAAAAGTTCAATAGAACCCAACCTAACTAGCAGATCTAAAAAAAGCCACAATATAAGCGTGGTGTCATGAAATAATGCCTTAATGTTGCATGTCTCTTGTTGCATTAGTGACACAAACAATAGAGACTATTTAAATATGTAAAGAGCCCAGAAAAAATAATAAAACAGGATTTATTATGTGATATTATATTTTTTCACATGTTGGTAAAAAATAAAAAATTTTCTAATAAATTCGTCCACAATGCAAAATTGTTTTTTTTGTTGTTGTAGATATTGAGTGTATAAAAAGTAAATGATTAGACAAATATATAAAAGCGAACCTAAAGTTACCAGCTGATGTTGAGTGTGCTTATTGCACACTTTTGTTTAATATTATTAACATTAAATTTTTTGTTATAAATTATTTTAATTGTTATTTTGTTAAATTTCAGCAACAAATAGTTATTGTTATCACCTGATTACTAATTTATAATTTAAAAGTGGTATTACTACTTATAAAACAAAAATAGGTAAAAATTAAAACAAATTTATAAATAAAAGCAATAAAACAGTTATAAAAACAAAACTAAAATGTATTTTACAATTTTTTTATCTCTAGAACCTTTTTTGCACTTATAAATGTGATTTTCGTAAAGTTTGAATTTTCATCAAATAAACATCAAAAATAAACAACACATCATCAATTACTATTTTACGTAAATAAAATGTAACACTAGCATAAATTTAATTTTTTTATTAGTAAATTTTAATTTTTATTTAGATTAATTGCTGCTAATATTGATCAGATTAAAAGTTTACTTTCATTGCTTTGTGCTTATTTGTCAAAACCCTGGAAGTTACAGTGTCTCCTTAAGTTGAATCTTCTTGAGGTATTGAAGAATATGCACACACACACACACACACACACACACACACACACACACACACACACACATATATATATATATATACATATACAAATATATATACACACACACACATATATATATATATATATATATATATATATATATATATATATATATATATATATATATATATATATATACATGTGTGTGAGTGTATATATTTTTAGTATTGTAAATTCTAATATCAATTTATTTTATATTTTTCGGCAAATATTTCTGTAATCTAATGGCATGGGAATTTGAAATATTTGTCTCAGTTTAGAGAAAAAAGCAAATTGTGTGAAATATAAAAAAAAAAAAAAAAGTTTAAGAGATATTTTACAAAATGTTAAAATCTGTTTAAGTATAATATTAAAGAATTTTTGTTTTTTAAATTTAAAAAATAAATAACTTAGCCATTACTGGGCTTGCGCTGGAAGGTTTTGTAAAATTCTGTGGCAAAAAATTCTATTAAAAAGATAATGATAACAAGAAATTCACTATTTTTGTGTCAAAGTAAACAAAACATTTAAAATCACTGATTTTTATTTGACAAGTACTCATTTTCCAAGTTTAATTTCAAAATAAAGCTTTTTTGCTGCATACAAAATTAGCGCTTTTGGATGTAGCATTTGTGCAATGAGTGTTTTTGCTAATTGATGTTTTAAAATTTGTTAGCTAAATTGATAGAATTATAAAAATTAAATATCTTTATGTGCTAAAATATTTGTAATTAAATGTTATTTTCAGAATTGCAAAATATAAACAATTGCAAAATAAAAAATATAAAAATTGTCTAAATAAATTCTTTTGCAAGAGTACTTATTAGAAAATATTTGAAGCATGTCATTATAGATGTATTTAATTTTTAACAAAAATGTTAAATTAACTATGTAACTACGTGCTATAAATTTATTGATGTTCATTAGTTTCAAATGCCAGGGTGTAAATTACACAAACTAAAATATTTTTAAAAAACATAAGTCGCAGATTTTAAGCTCTTTTACGATGCAATTTTTATTAAACTGAATCAACTATTATGATTTTATATTTAAATTAAGACCCTGCAAAGGAAAACGTTTTTTTTATTTGTTTTGTTTATTGTGACAGGCTTGGTCAGGAAGCGGGAGCGATCGCTCTTGAATACTGACTACAGAAATTATATTTAGTTGCAAAAATCTGGCCAGGTTTTTTAGTCGTTTTGAGAACATTTAAGTTTATGTACGAAACAAAAACTTTTTGTTTTATGGACCTACATGGAAACATAAAAAACTTGAATGTTCTCAAAAAGTCTTGGTGCGAAAGAATAAAAAGAATATTCCCGAACACTAAAAACCCGCCAAATTAATGAACAAACTAATTCTATTGGTTCAAAAAATACGCTGACTAAGCCAAATAAAGTTCTAGAGTATTCTGTTGAAATGTTTTAGAAATTGTATTATTCACGATTTGTTATGTTTTGAGATTTCTAGCATAAATTGTTTTAAGAATATATATTACTTGTTTACGAAAATATATGTAAAACTTGTTAAACTTTTTTCTGCTTTAAATACTAGTTAAAATTAAAAAGCCAATCACTAAACATCATCAGCGATATTGTGAAGCAGTTTCGCTTCCTTGTATTATTAACCTTTTTAGTTGATTTCTATCTTGTTAATTTCATTTCTATAGTAATTCAATGATTAAATTATTTCATTTGTTTATCTTACTAAGAAGAATTGCTTCAATTATGTTAAACTTTTCAAACTACGCAAAACTTAAAATAGGTATTAAAAAAATTAACTTTTTTATTTATACAATAATTTAGCTTAAATAAAACTAAACTCCTTTTTAAACAATCTTAAGATGTTACTTTATATAAAAAACATTATAAAAATTACTTATAAAAATTACTTTATAAAAAGTATTATAAAAGAGCGATGTTTCGAAAATATTTGTTCTAAACGTCATTTATTTAGCTTTAATTTTTTTCGCGTTTAAAGATATTTTATTTGCCTAATTTTTTTTTGTAATTGTCTCTGATCGGTCCAATTAATGTTTTGCGCTTTTTTTTTTCTTTTTAAAATGTTATCAAAACGACTAAAAAATCTGGCCAGCTTTTCGCAACTAAATATTATTTACGTGGTCAGCAATCGAGAGCGATTGCTCCCGCTCCCCGACCAAGCCTGTTGTGAAAGTTTTCATTATGTAATTAATAAACAATCCCTAAGTTATTTTTTTAATTGTTGTTTTTCATTTTTTTGTTTGGTATTTTATATCAACTGAATTATGTGATCACATCGACTAAAATCTTTTTTCACTTATCTGCTATTAATTCACTAATTAATTCAATAATTTTTTTAAAAAACCATTTCTGAAATATAAGTTTACTACAAAAAATGTTTTAATGATTAAAAAAAATTGTCACTACAAATTGACTGAACAAACAAAATAGATTTCTTTACTTTACTGCATGCTTTTATTTAACAGGCAAATATGTATATTAAAACGTAAAATAAATACGTTTAATAACAAGAATGCTTTTTTTTTATTACAATAAACTGGTACTAGAAATTTAAATAGCAGAGAACAAGATTCACTGCTTGCTTGAATTTAAAGTGTTACATTTTGAGTAAACATAGTCATAACATTTCATAACTTAGAATGAAAAAATAACTATTGGTATTCTTCATTGCCACGTAATCGTTTGCGATCAATATTCTATAATTAAACTACATTTATTGTTGTTTTTGCTGAGACTAATTATAACTTTATTTCGTTATGCGATTTATGAATAAAGAAAATTATTATTATTTATAAAGTATTAAATAAATAAATAAATGTAAAATTTATGAGCTAGTTTTCACTATTTTCAAAATCTTATCTTTTTTGAAAATAATTCTTTTGATGACACAGTTTATTACATGATAATATAAGGGTTTGTCCATAAAGAACATCAAACAGAATTTAAATAATAATTAGAAGTAGAAAATCATTGGCTTTCTTTCGCTTTTATTTCTTGAAATAAAAGCAGCCAAGATATATTAGGATTAAAAATAAATTAATTATATTATTCTTAATAATAATTAATTAATATACACTGATTATTTTATAATAGAAAAATATAAAATTCCTAATATATGTTTGAAAATCATTGGCTCTGCTGTTATGAAACCACGTTAAATTTTGTGTTGATTTCATGTTCATCTTCAAAGTTACAGACGATATTTTATTTTATTTTTGGCGGTGAGGAGTAGGAAAAAAAAAAGAATATAGGAAAAAGACCCCACACATTCCTGGAACACATTTTAATCTCAGCGGAGAGGGTGGGGTGGGGGGAATAGGTTTTTGACAAATTCCCACTTGTTAAAACGCTGTTTCAAATTTATTCCTGGTTAACACCTAAATACGTATTATACACATTTTATAAATAAATAATGATATTCAAAATTTAATGTTAATATCATTAATGTATTCATATATATATATATATATATATATATATATATATATATATATATATATATATATATATATATATATATATATACATATAATATATACTTCTAAAATGTTATTTAATGAATAAGAATTAAATAATTTAAATAAAATGAATAACATAAAAGAGAATTTAAAATAACTAAATCATATTTATAGAATTATGTAGATGGGTTAAATATTAATAATAAATTTGTAATCTTTCAACATTGCAAAAAAAAAATAGAAGAAAATAGTGAATAGAAAATAAAATAAACAATTCAACAAGCAACATAACTTTATTTAAGAAAAAATAAAGAAAATTTTATTTTTTAAAAACAACTTTTCTATCAAAAATGTTCAGCAAAAAAAAAAAAAAAAAAAAAAAATGATGTTATATGACATAAAAAATAAATCATAAAAAAAAATTTGAATTGCGGATGAATATATATTTAGGCAATTTCTCATAACAAACATTAACAAAAATAGTTACGGAATTAAAAAAAATAAAGTATTAGCTAAAAAATAGTACACTTTAATTTTTATTTTTGATTAGCACCACTTTATATGTTTTAATTTTTTTGTTTGTTTGTTTTAGTATTATGATTGATTTTATCAAAAAAATAAAAAAGCATCAATTATTACAAACTTTAAATGACATCTTAAAAAGATTTTGTTTTTTTATAATTAAATAAAAAACTTCTTCCAAGGATATAACTCTATTATTAATTTTTCAAAATAGTATTTCAAGGGATTTTAGATTATCAAGAATAAATATACTTGATAACAATATCAAGAATAAATATATATAATAATGAGGGCATCTAAACTCCCTCAATATATTTTTTTGAAAAATTAATAACAGAGTTATATCTATAGAAGTTTTTTATTTTATTAGTTATTACAAGTATTTACGCTTAAAACAATATAGCTGTTGCAATTTCTGTCTATATTTATAAGTTTTATTTTGCGAAAATGTTTTATAATTGTTACATCAGCTTTGTACAATTAAAAGATTGTGAAATTGTTGTCAAAAAAGTAAAAGCAGTAGTTTAGGTAGTGTTTAAGATTTCTCTATGTTTTTTAATTCTTGAGAAATGAGAAATTAAGAATGAGCTTCTCGAGAATTCTTGAAAAATTTTGAGAAATGTCAAAGTTGGAATTTTTTTTTTAATTTTAATATAACTTATGTTCATAGAATGTGTAAGGACAAACATTGGATTAAAAAACAGCAGAATAACAAATATAAAAGTCAATTTATTAATATAACATAAAAAATTGTATAAAAATATGACGAAAAAAAGATATACTATAAAATATACAAGTGTAACAATGTATGCAATTGTTTTTTTAATTGTTATTTATTAGTTGTTTTATAAAAAAAAAATATTAATACAAAAATGTGAAATAAAAATGGCAATTAGACAAATTATAAATACATAAGTAATAATTTTTATTAATTATTTTTAAAGTAATATTTTTGCATTTAATGACGTGTTAGATAATCTATTTCTTTTTTTTTGTAACAAAATCATTAGCAGTCGAGAAATTACGTTCATTTTGCGTTGAAGTTGGTTTTATTGTAGATAATGCATCTTTTAGATTTTCCAAAATTTTGTGACCTTTTGTGATCCAGTTGTTTGGAATATGCTGCAATCTTTTTTAAGTGTCTGATAAAGATTCTGGTGTCATTATCGCAACGTTGGCGGGGCATAATTTTTCATTACTTGTTGGGCTATGTAAAAATTTGTATAAAGATACAACATTATCATTTCTCCTTTTACTTATTTCTTCTTTTATATTGTTTAAGAATTTTCTACTTTTTTGGTTCTTTCTACATTCTTCCTTTAATTTATTAAATAAAAATTTTAAGGCTTCTTTGGCCGTTAATAATGTTGCATCTGTTCGACTTATAGCTTCTACAGTTATTTGTGTCGGTTTTAAATACAGCTATTAGAATTTCAGCCATTTGTATGTAATTATCTTTCCACAATTGGTTCAAATTTAATTCACTTAATGTCATTTGCACACAGGTTTTGATTTTTAAGAACCGTTTCACCATTATTTCAATAGTATCCAGCATGTTTTACATTCTAGTAACAAAGTTGTAACATGTTTTACATTCTAGTAACAAAGTTGTAACAAAGCTAATTCTTTTTGTTCTTGCTCTTTTACATATTTTTGTAGAACACCATTTTTCTCCACTCCATTTTTCACCGGAGAATTTTCAAATTTAAGAAATTTTAAATTTATTAAGTTTTACAATTTTTCATATTCCTACAATTGCATCTTTAATTTGGGATTTAAGTTGAAAATTTTTGCTACGTAACACGTCAATTTCTAAATCAAAGTCATCTTCTTCTGTACTTTTCAATTCTGTACTTTCATTGTCGCTATCTACAGTCTCATGCTCTTCTATGGATTTATTTATTTCGTTTTTTGGTTCAGTGTAAAATTTTTTCAAAACTTCTAGATGTATGCCATTATTGTAGAATAATTGCTGAAAGGCAGGCGATAGTCTACCAAATTTCTTTATAACTGCAGCATCATTGCTCATAACAGCCACAATATCTTCTTGTAAAAATAGACTAAACTCTTCTAATTTTTGCGACAGTATTTGCAAAGTTATTTCTGATGTACAACTTAAAATATAAAATATTGCAATAAATTATTACTTAAAATACTTTTTGTATTAGTATTTAATGTAAAAAAATCCTAGAAATCAATAATATCGCCTTTTATCTAAATCTTTCATAGATTTGATTGATTCGAATAACACACAATATTATACCTACCTATTTCTTTCACATAATACAAGTATATTAATAAATAGTAAACAATTTATCTTTGGTTATAGCCTTTATGGTAAATTTTGACAGTTGCCAATGGTGTATAAATGGTATAAATGTCTGACGCGCACAGTGGCAAATGCAATTTGCGCTTGCGCAGCATTTGGCTAATGCACATGCAAAGAACATAGAATTAATTTGAATTAAATTATTCATTAAAGCAAATAAAAAATTTTTCTCAAGAATTTTTATTCAATTTCTCGAGAATTGAGAAACAAAAATAATGACTTACTCGAGATTAAACCCTAAGTTTAGGATTAACTAAGAAGTCAAGATTTCTATGATAATTTGTATCAAGATTTATTATTATTAATTATATCAAGATTTATTATTATTAATTATATCAAGATATCAAGATTTCTATGATAATTTTTTTTGGTTTTGGGTTTACATAAAACTGTTTGCCACAATATTAAGTTTATTACCCAATAAAAAAAAATTGATTTATTAAGTTATTAAGTTTCTAATTACCTAATAAAATTTTTCTTAGGTTATTAAGTTATTACCCAATAAATTTTTTTTTTTAAGTTACTTAGCCAGTAAAAAATTATTAACTTAACAAAGTACCCTTTTAATAATTTAATTATCCAATAAAAAATTTTCATTGCTAATTTTTTTTAACAATTTTAAAACTCAGCTAAACAAAATGTTAGCTAAACTAAATGTATTATTTGTTGCTATTGTATAATGGTTTTTTTATTTTTTTGCTACTATGTCATATGTTTGACATTTTTTGTATTACTACTATTAGCTATGTATCCATTGATTTTTATTAGGTTTTAACAAAGTTCTGCAGGGAAGATTTATCCATTGGTAATGATCTTGTTTTATGTGTTTGGCATGATGTTCTTCAGTATCAAGTTTTAAAACAGCCACTTGCTTTGAAATTAAACTTACTGGTTAGAAATTGTTTTTGTGTAATTGTTTAAAACATCCAACATATGAAAGTATGTACCACTACAGGGTGTTAGCCATGAATATGTTTTTTACCACATTTTTGTGATATTGAGAAATTGTTATTGTTTTCAAAATATTGGGAATTTTTATTGATATCGTCCTATTACTTCAACAAAAAAAAAAAAATTGAATTTTGGAAATTTTAAAACCCATTGGTAATCGGGTTGGTTAACACTCTGCACTAAATAAAATAAAATAAAATTTAATTATATATATATATATATATATATATATATATATATATATATATATATATATATATATATATATATATATATATATATATATATATATATATATATATATATATATATATATATATATATATATATATATATATATATATATATATATATTGGCCTCAACATTTAAGATATAAAACTTTTTTAAGGGACTTTGAAATTATATATAACTTGATGATTGGTTTTAAAAATATCCTCTATAGACCACTTTTTTAAAACTAGCTAGTTTATTTTTCATATCACTTATATTCTTCATAATACTTGCGACAAAATGTATTATTGTAGAGTGATTAGAAGAATAAAACTAAAAGATATTGTGAACATAGATGTTGAAGTTTTAATTCAAAGAATTGGACACACTTTTGAACTAAATGAGGAGATATGTTTTCACCATAAAAAAGTCTATATTTCTAAAATAATAAAGTCTACAAGAAATAAATTATTAAGGGTAAAGTAAGTAAAGTGTAAAGTCAATATTTTAACAGCAAGTCAACTTAAGATCAAACCTGGTCAAAAACTTTGCACTAACTGTTTGAATGAATTCAAACTTGAACAGATTACAGGAAAATTTAGTCAAGAAGATGAAGACAAAGATGTTAATGATGAGGAGTTTAGTTCTTCAGACCTAAATAAGATAAAAAACTGGAAACAAATATGAAAAACCTAGTAGCATCAGCATTGGATATAGACCCAAAAGAAATCTGAGAATAAGCAAAAGTGCATTAACTGTAATGATTTAGACAAACTTATAGATGCAATAAAGAAAAAAGTAAAAATCAGTTTGAAAGAAGAAAAAGTTCAGTTACTAACATTAACTCCTGATAGTTGGTCAATTAAAAAAATTTGCAATGCTTTTTCAGTTTCAGACCATCTTGTTAAGAAAGCCAAAAAGCTGAAAAATGAAAAGGGAATACTTGCTAAACCTGAGGCTAAAAAAGGACATCCTTTGGAGGATATTGTTGAGCAGAGAGTCATTGAAATATATGAATCTGACGAATACACTAGACAATGTCCAGGAAAAAAAGACTGTTTCTGTGCGTATAAATAATGTTAAAGTTCATAAACAAAAACGCTTAATATTAGTTTGTTTAAAAGAAATTTATTTGGAATTTAAGAAATTATACCCTGAGGACAAAGTTGGATTCAACAAGTTCTGTGAACTAAGGCCAAAGTGGTGCCTTGCTGTTGATAGTAGTGGAAGCCACTCAGTTTGTGTATGTTCTTATCATCAAAATGCTAAGTTGATGTGCTCTGTTCTTTTTAACAGCCATTTAATATATTACAAAGATTTAATGAAAGTATGTGTTTGTAATATAGATAGATAAAACCCAAATTAAAATTGCATGTTTCATCTATGTTCCAACTGCCCTGGTAAAATAAATTTGAAGACTTACTTGGAAAATGGAAGCTATCACTGTTTTGCTTTGGAAGCTATCATTGTTTTGTACCAGATGGAGAGAAATTGTATTTATGAAGAATCTGATGTTAATTTAATTAAAAAAAAACTTTCAAATTTTCAACCCGGTAAATATATTACATGCTTTTACGATGAAGAATGGTACATAGTGCTTGTGGTTGATATTTGTTATGAAAACCATAGCGTTAATGTGAAGTTTATGCGAAGAAACAAATTAAATTTAAAATAGACAAACGATGCACAATCAAGTCAGTCTTGGGTTCCATTTGACAAGATAATATGTCAAATAAGTGTTCCATTGATTAAAAGTATAAGTGCTCGTGACTATATTTTTGCTAGTAACGTAAGTAATGTAATGACAGTATTATGAGTTATATAAATCAGAGATAAGTTAATTAGTTTCATATATACTTACTTTTACTTTCAACTGATTATTTTACTGTTTGAATGCACTTTTTTACTGTATATAGTTTTTATAAAATTTGAGGTATAAATTTTGTATGTGGTAAGTGATATTTTTTTCTTCTCCTTTTAAAAATATCATCACTCTCAAAAGGCTACAATCATGTCATAAAATAGAGTATAAGTCTTTAAATTTTTTTTGGTAATTGTCTATATATAGAACGTCGACATTAAAAAGTTTCATAATTTATTTCAACTGTTTACGCTACTTTTTATGCCAGGAAAGTTGATATAATTTATCATAATTAAAAAAAAAGGGATTTTTTAATAGGCTGCTGCATGTGCTAAATTAATTTTTAATGCATAGTTTTGGTTATTCTAACAAGTGGTGACACTAAGTACACAAAGGTAACAAAGAAAATTGTAAGTAAGTATTATTTGGGTGAAAAACTATTATCCTACAAAATTTCAGGTGATCACCATCTTTATATAAAAAGTTATGGTATGTCAAAAATCGAAAAAAGCTGCTGTAAACTCCTGATACACAAATATTTCGGATTTTGGTCATTTTTAATTCAATCATAACTTTTGAACATAGTGGCCAATCAAGCTGAAATTTTCTGGATTGTATTTTTTTCATAAGATCTGTGTGTGGTCAAAGTTTAAAGCAAATCTGAGATGGTACCCTGGGGAACTTTCAAAAAACTAGGTGATTTGATATGGAATAACCCTTAATTCAGTATTTTTCAGTTTTACTTTTGTTATACAAAACTTTGCTTAAGTTATTTTTTAATGTGTCAGTACATTTTTTGTAATAAATGTTCAAAATATAAAGAATATTTCATTATTTAAATCTTTTTTGGTTGTTATGTATAAAGGGTAAAAATATATGAAATCATCAAAAAAAAATAATTTTTGACACCCTTACGTCTCAGAATTTGTTTATTTTTACACCACTTGCAGTCCATATCAAAAAAAAAATAACTGCGAAAATTTTAATTAAAAATACCAATGGGTTCCAGAGATATCGTCAGTTGAAATAATGCTGACTCAGCATTTTAGTAATTTTCTGAAGCGACTACAAAGCAACTTTGACATACAGTATCTTCATAATGGCTTGGGGAAGTTTCCTAAAATTTGATACTCTAATAGATTTTAACTTGAGGAATCCAAAAATAGCACTCTTAAGACTCGATTATCTCAAGAAATGCCTCATTTATCCAATTTTGTTCAAAATTATTGAATTGTAAGTTAGTGATTTTTGGAGGTAAAATAAAGACTGTGGCCCAAAATCCCGAGTAAAAATTTTAATTGTATATCATTATTTCATCTTAGGTCTACTGAAAAAAATTAGATTCATCAATTGTCTCTCTAATACATGATCAAAATTTGCATTTAAAAATGGTGTCTTTTTAGAAAAATTTAATTTTTGTAACAAAAGCAATTAAAATATTTTTTTAAACATTTATTTGAATAAAACACCAAATAGTGTTATTTATTGACTAGTTTAAATTTAAATAAACATTTAAAGTCTTGGGCCGAGGGAGATGCCCTCCCTACCCATGGGAGGCCCTCTGCCCCCTCCCCAAATCTCCCTAGATTTTTTTTTTTTTTTTTTTACATAAAATGAATAAATAATAGTTGATTGTTAAAATACATTTTAAAAACATATTTTTTAAGTTTAAGTTTGAGAAACGATTTATTTGCGTTACTTCAAATCGATAAATACTTACCTCTTATTTCAAAGATCTTTTTACGATTTTAAGTCATAAATTTCAAAAACAAATGTTTTAAAATGTTTTTAAAACATATTGACAATAAATATCTTTATGTAGTTTTAGACTAATATAGTCATTGACATAATAAGATGGGAGTGATTTGTGATTTATTTAAACCCCCACCCCTCCTTCTCAGCCTACAATCCAAGGATTTGAAAAAAATAAAAGACATTTAAAATGCAAATTAGGTAAATAAAATAAAAACAAAATTATTTTAGGCATAATTAATTTTTTTTTGTAACCAACAGTTTATATTCTCCAAATCTAAATCAGTTATGTTGTATGTATAACCTGATATTGTTGTGGGTGTAGAAATTTGGCATATAACTTCAGAATTGAGCACCCAACACTCATCAGTTCTTATTGGCTAAAAGAAGTTTTTACCTGGTCCATGTGGATGCATGAATCTGACTTTTATATCAAGCTCACTTACATCTTCAGCAATCCCTACCCACCAAAATCCATCATAAGAACAAGCAATATAATCCATTTTTTTAATATTTAATGAAATATCTACATAATGTTTGCTTTTTGGAATGATATCAAATATTTCAGTGCATGCATCAATACTTATTTTTTTATAACTTATAGTGTTTGGAGCAATTGGAATAAAATGATGATACATCCTTGTGCCAGGAACTGTTCTTCCACCTAAATATCTTTTTTCTAATTGTGCTTGTGTTTGATCAATTTCTTCTTTTGAAAATAACTTAAAATAAATTCCATTTATCTTGGCTTTACAAAAGGAGTACATTAAATTAACATCTAAAATCTGCCCAGTAGTTATTTGTTTTAGACTTTCTTGACATACTACTCTTTTAACAGTCCCACCAATACCATCACAGGGGGATTTACCATGACTGGTAGCAAAAAATACCCATTCAGCATTTAAATCAAAGTCTTTACTGTGATGACAAAGATTGATAAAATTTTTAAAATTTTTAAATTGTGCTGCACAACCATCAGAAAAGTATTTCACACTTGATACATCAGGTAGATTTTCTTTGATATATCTAGTTATATCTTCCTGAGTCTTGTAAATAAATCCTGTGTCATGATCAACATCTTCTGAAAGGTAACAAAAAGATTTATGTTTGAGAAGT